TTGTTTATTATTAGCAATGTTCTTCCGACGTCTGATTTCTTTTTAAAAAATGCGTTGCTAAAGTGCATAAACTTTTGGGATTGACTGTATAGCCAATACATCCTTAAATCCACCGAAACGTTTCGATCGTCTCAATCTTATTTAAAAAAAATCGTTAAATTGCCAGGCCTCGTTAGAATTCATATCCGGTCGCGAAAGTATTTAAATTCTGAAGAAATACAAGTTTACAGAAGTGAGAAATAACGAAGAGGGAACCTGCAGACTGATGATACGGGCCTGAAGAGGGGCCCAAGGAAGGGGACCGGGCGCAGGTAAGCAGCTGCAAGCATCTGCAGGGGCAACAGCAGCCGCGTGTTTAAATTAGTCCCGGCACAACTGTCGTTCGTGTAACAGCGAGCCGAAACTCTCCGGTGCTCGGGAATATACGATCAGTGCGAGGACTTCGGATAGAAACGCGAGAACAGTGCGTGGAATATTAGTATCAAAGAATTTAAAAAAAAATTGTGTAAGACAGCGCTTATTATAAAAACTGAATTCGGAAAGAAAGATCCTTCAATTTACACTCAACCCGAGTTTAAAATACAGTAAGTTAAGGATTCAGTGTTTTAAACGGGATTCGATTTAAAATTGAAATTGACGTCTAATTGGGCCTGATACGAATTTGAATTATGATTTACGATCGCTGTGTGAGAGACTGTGAATTGTAATTAGGCGAGCGAGACAGGGCAGCCTGTCGGGCTCTAATTGAAGAACCGATAAAGAAAGTGGATCCAGCGATCGTATGAAGTGCGTTCACAGAGGGACGATACGAAGAAGAAGAGGAAGATGCTGATACTTAGGCTAATTGTGGTGTCGAGCCTCTGCTGGATGGCCAGGTGCGACTTATTGGACCTGTACGTCCAACACATGGACGAGACCATGAGAACTCTGGCCTACAGGAGCGGCAAGCATCATCCGAGGGACATCGCCTCGAGGATAAAGAGAAGCGTGAAAGAGGAACCGGCACTCCTCAGGGTCGGTACATTCAAGAAGCAGCGGCTGGACGTAGATAAAGAATGGTACGCCCAGTGGAAGGCGAAGAGAAAGATCCCTTACAAAGACGACGGCCTGGACTACCCTAATTCCAGGGAAGAGAACTTAAATCCGGATCAACACGAGTTGGTCCACGACGCGAGTCGAGTCTTTGTCACAGAGGAAACTACGAGCGCGGAGGAGATCAATGAGACCGCGAACGCGTTCGACGTCGAGCTTCGTGCTATAGATTCTTCACGATTGAACGATACCACGTTGTCTGATAAACAGTCCATCGAAGAACTGGATAATCGCGAATCAAGGGAAGATACCACGCAGACGATGTCGGACTTCGAAGAAGACGTCGAACTCGGGGGCAATTCCCAGTTTGAGATCATCAGCGAGACTGGTACCGCGGGACCGAAGCTCTTCGACGATCCGATTTTTAAAGGAACGCCGAAGTCAAGAGACAGAGTGCCGAAGAAGTACGTTCCACCGATAGACAAGCTGGCCAAGTTGCTTCGTGGATCCGCGGACAACAGGCCCAAGAGGAGTACGAAGATGCCGAAGTTCACCAGACACGAGAAGCTGGACGACGACGGTGAGGTGGTACTCGAATGGGACCCGACCGACGAGGAGATGGTCACGTTCAAGGTAACCGCGAAAACCTTGGGATACGTCGGTATCGGATTCAACGACAAGAACCACATGAAGGGAGCTGATATCATCCTAGCCTGGGTCGACGATCACAGCGGAGCCCCCAATCTACTGGTAAGTCGTTCTCCGTTCGATCTTAATCACCGGTGATTGATGAGGGGCTGCCCTCGCGAAAGGCATTCGTCCCTATGATCGATAGACCTGAATCGCCGTCGATCTACCAGTAGATCGATCCACGATTTCTTCATTTCGTGAACCAAGAACGAAATGATGTTCAAAATTGTCCAGTAGTCGTTATTACAAATCGTGGCGGAAGTGCATTTTCATTTTCATATGCACTGAGGTTCGATAAAATTAATTGCAGGAACAAATAAATGTCTAAGTGATTCGTAATGTGGATTTCATTTCAATTTCGCATTCGTCGATTAGAATGAAAGTGATTAGGATGCGTGAGATCTAACAGGAAGGTGTACGAGCGTCGGCGCTAATCGCGTGGGAAGAACTTGTTTCCTTCTTATCGCAACACTATCCTCGATTTCTCATATGCAAGATTCTATTTTCGCTGCGGCTGTGTCGGCGATCAGATCGATTAACCCTCTCTCACGGTTCAACGAATTCCAACGAGACATTCATCAACGTTCAAGAACGTTACACAATTCAAGGATACTAATGAAGATTTTTATGTAAATCGCGCGAGCCCTTCCGAAAGGATCGGACGCTCGACGGAGAAGAAGGGTGCGAAAGAGGTCGTTTCGCGACGCGCTTTGATCTCCCCAGGTTTATTCCGACAGAGATTTAATGGACCAGTGAGTTTTTCGCGAATTCTACCTTTCCGAGACAGCCGGAGATCTATCGACGCGGATCCCCGTTGAATCGAGCCGAGGAGAATACAAAAAGGAGGCAACAAAGCCGTGGAACGAGAAGAAGAGGAGAGGAGGCGAAAAAGGAGTTAAAGAAACGAAAAGCCAGGGAATTAAAGGAAGATTAAGAAGGCGGCTGGGCCAGAAAGGGAGGTCGAAACAGCAGTCTGAAGGACCTGCGAAAGAAGGATGAGAAGAAAAAGAGGAAACAAAAGCGCGGGGCCTTCTTCTCGAAACCTTTTCTCTCCAGAGGGATCAGGGGATCGGAGGCTCGGTTTCGTTAACGCACGATCCGTATTAATGAGCTTCGTTTAATTAACGCGTTCGTCTCGTTCTCTAGTCACGATGCATAATAACGTCCAACTGATTCCTCGAAAGCAAACAAAGTAAATTTTCCCTGCACCGGTCTTCGTCGCTATTTTTGCTTTTTAAAACAGACGTTGGACTCGTAATGGGGTACTTTTACGCGTGTGTATATCGCGAAATAACATATACAAAATATTCGGAGTTTGCCGGGGTTCCATTCAAGCAACGGGAGGAAGGATTAAAAGGGAACTGGTTATCGAAACTCTCTTTCTTTTTCTCTGTCTCTCTCTTTTTCTTTCCACGCGGCTTCTCCGAATTCCTAATCTTAATTAAATTTATATCCATCGTCAGTGGTATGCGCCGTCGTTTCTGCAACAAGAAACTATCCTCTCCGCCTCTACGATACGCGTGAAACGAGGAAACGACGAAGACACGATACCCGAATCGTTTTATCGTATTTAATAACTCTATGCGTGGCTCGGACGAGACAAAAGTGGGAGATGGAAAGGACGATACTTTTACGAGGTTTGAAAAATGGTCACCGACGCCCGTCGGCCAGTGAAATTGGCAATTATTTGAAAAAGAAAGGACGCAGGATTTTTCGACTCGATTTACCTGATACTTATCCGCGGGTAGACGATGGACCGGAAAAAAGAAACGGTCGGAGAACGCAGGTGGGAGAAGAGAGGAAGAGGCTGGTAGAAAATTAACGAACGTCGTTCCACCGGTCGAGATAAAGTCGTGATAAATTTACGTCCAGCAAGGGCAGCAAGACCTTCCTCTGCCTCCTCCTCCACCTCTTACCGATCTTCGTCCTCCTCTCTCTCTTTCATTCTCAGTCGCCTCTTCCACCTTGACGAATTCGATATCCACCGGCGCGAACCTGCGTCCACTTGTCGAATGCATGACTCGACGAATTTCGATGGGAAATGCCGCGGACGAAAATAGAATCCGAGAAATCATCGGATAAGAAAATCCAACGAGGATTTCAATTATAAAATATCGATCACCGCGTTCCAATTACTTCCTTGTCAATTGCATTACAAGGAAGGTGTAAGATCGCGTGTAAATTCGGATTCGTCCTGCAGGGGAATACGTAATGCCACGGGTAGAATGGATCTATGGCGAGACACTTATACGTAGCCGCGGGAGTGGTTGCGTGACTGAACGTGTGACGAATACGCGTGTGTACGGGAAAAGAGAAGGCCCCTCGGGCATAGGTATGCCCAGGGAGTTGGTTCCAGAGGGGCCCAGTCAAGGCCTCCAGACAGGGTGAGGATACGCGAATCTTTGAGCAAACCGAGATGAAGAGCGTACGTCCTGACCCCAATGAATCGGCCGACACGTGATATCTACAGCTGCTTACACGAACACTTATCACGCGAACATCCTACGAATTTAGCTTCTTCGTCATGTCGTTCAATATATATTTTTTTACAAACCTCGAGACGGAAATAGTAATTGAAAAGTAGCTACATAGAAAACCGATGGATTCCGTCGGAGTAAATCGTCGGTGGAGGGTGGGAAAAATCTGGATGCTTTCGATATCGGCGGAACGGCCGCAGGCATGCGGCTGCTAAAAAGAAAGTGAAACGAGCATTGATTAGCGCGGAAACGAGGCGGAGATACGACTAAACGATCCGCGCATTACACAGGACGCGCGCATCCTTGAGAAGAGTAAAGGAAAAGCTGGAAAAGAAACCGCTAATCCCGGCGCCGAGGATTTCCACGATCGTTTAATCCGTCGATTATTATTCCGCGTGTATACTCGTAAAAAGCCGGCCGTGATGAGTTATAACGAGTGAGCGAGCGCAATTACGCGTAACTCTTCTTGTATGACCAAGAGTACGTGAGGAAACCGGATCGACTCGTACCATGACATGTTTCGAGATACATGCGTTTTATGAGAACGAATACCGAATAACCGATGGAGGGTGAAAATGATTCGGACGAGTTACAATATCGCTGTCCGTGTATAAGGAGAAATTATTTGTCGTGGCGATAACGAGGACACGCGCCATGGGAAACGTAGGAAATACACAGACGTTAGTTCGGAGGTTCGAGAGACCGGTAGGTGGTACGGAGTTCCCTAAGGACGATAGGAAGGCCCTTTATCCCCTTCGAGGGATCTCTTTGCGCTACCAGCTGCTGTTCTGCCAGGTGGTAAAAGGGAGAGGTAGCCCAGAATCGAGAGAGAACGGAGACGAATCTGAACGAAGAAGGAGAGGGACCGAGTCGTATAACCGGGTTTCTCGGCGAAGTGTCGGAGAGAGAAGGACATGAAAGGACGGAGAAGAGAAAAAAGGGAAAGGAACAGAGCGCCGAAATGGTCCCTGAGAAAAGAGGGAAAGAGAGGAGCGTAGCTCGAAAACACCTGGCGAGCATCGTCCTCCTAGTGGCGCCTCATGAGAGAATTTCTCTCTTTTTCTTCGGGACTCCCGATCCATGGGAACCACCGCGAATCCTACGGGGGCACAAAGGGAACCGTCCCCCCCTTTCTTCTTTTTACTGCGACGCTTGTACACACGTAGATCGGAAACTATTTCTCAAAGTAGTAGGCGCTCGGTAAAGAACAAGTATATTCCGGCTAATTTCACGCAGGTTCGGGCTGGCGAACGTTCGTTGGGAAGGATTTCATACGAGGGTGTTCCGTAAGCGGGATTCTCAGAAGACTTCCACAGGAAACGCGAGTACCGATCCATGACGTCACATCCGTCGAATTAATTTTCCGCATCCACGCACGTGTGCCTCTTTTCCCATGCATCCGTGACTCGGTTCTCGTCGACAATGAGTATCGAGGCATTCGTCGACCGTTGCTTTACGTTAATTGTCCCGGTTGAATCGTCAAGCCACCGTAATTGTCAACGAAACGATTGGTCGGTAGCAACAATCGAGAGGAACCTGTTCCAAAAAGGAGGACACGAGAGAATTTCTTCCGTGACTCAGTTACAGAAACCAGACGTCTTTCCCGAGCTCCCGGCGATCGTTTACATAATCTCGATAGATAGTGGAAGTGTCCTGCCGTTTGGGAAAACATTCGTCCTGTTCATGCTAGCCAGTGCGATCGAAGGACGTCGCCGGCAGAAGAACTGCTGTGGAATCTGCTTTTTCTGTTTTTAATAACCCATTCAGCAATGCCAAGGACGTGCTAATTAGCCTGGCCAGGATGAGAATATCCGGATGGCATGAGAAAAACCCCCGCGAACTTCGTGAGAAAAAGAGACCCCAGTTCCCGATGATCGTAATTCAAATTAAAATGAGAATAACACGCGTTTACTCACGCCGATAAAACGTTTACTATCTTCCATTATCTCCGATCGACTCGTGTGAGTACAGAAACAAGTTTGAATAATCGAGGAGCCACGTCATTAACAGAGTAACTGCCAGCTCAGTGTCTCCGCTTCTCTTACCTGTCGCGTATATACATATTTTTTTCGCGACATGCGCCAGTTTATTACCGCTTCCTCTTTGCACGTGCTCGTTACAAAATACGCAGCGTGCATGACGATGCTCGGCCAATTATTTCGATTCATTACGAGCAGGAAGACCGACTTCCCTTCGGCCTCTCGCGAAACTTTAGCGCCCGACCATAATCGGAGTCCAACGGACCCAAACGCCCGCGGCAACCCTTCCGCGCGTCGCACTTCGTGCTCTCTTTTCTTTCGACCGAGAACGTTCCCAGGATGTCGTTTAAATCTTATCAATGAACTGTTCTCAACGCTCGTGTACCGTCGCGAACGCGTATTCGATGAAGTCAGATAGACCCCGTGGTGGTACCGCACAAGCGACGTGCATTCTGCGGTGGTCTGCGATACGAAAAGAGAAAGCAAAGAAGACGGAGAAGAACGAATCGAAATTTTCGATAGTATCGCTTCACTCGATATACGAGGTGTGTAAATTAAGTAATGAAATTGACTTTTTAAAATTTTTTTATTCGAATAGCCTCTCTCAAAATAAGTTCTTTGGGAAGCCATACAACTCTGGAGACGGTTCTTTTAATCCTCATAGCAATGCTGGAACTCGGATAGCTTCCAAGGAGCTTATTTTGAAGGAGACGATATTAAATTGTAATTCTATTTGAATAAAAAAATTAAAAAAATCAGTCTCCTTACTTAATTTACACACCTTGTAATTTCTCTCGCTCTCCGCCGAGGAAAGATCAATTAAAATTTGATGTTTTTACCTAGGACTCGCACGGGATCGAGGACTCGGAGGCAGCCCTGGTCACGGACACGTCCCAGGACGTGAAAGTGCTCGATGGGTCGCAGAACGATACCCACACGTACGTAGTCTTCTCGCGGAACTGGCAGACCTGCGACCCTCAGGACCGGCAGCTGACGGTAAGCAGAGGAACGATAAGAAAACAGTGTTAGAGAGAATTATTGCCAGTACGAAATTATTTCGGACTACCGTCGTAAACGGCGATGGCGCGTAGCATAAATTATTCCCGGGATAACGAATAAAATTCGAGACAAAGGGTCGACGCTTGGAATAATTAGAAGACGAGGGGAAACAAATTGCCCGATATTCGATTCCACCTGGCTATATAGCCGGGAGATTTACAACGTAGAGACAGTGGAGCCGGTAGAATTCGCGGAGAGGAACCTCTTCGTTTCGATTTATGCCCGGCATGAAACCTCGCGAGTTGAACCGCCGGGCCCTAAGACCTCGAATTCCCGCAGCGATATTTAGGCGTTTAGCATGCCTCGTGCGTCTTCGAGATTGCCATTCCCGAGCCGCGGTTGGTCTAACCGGAATCGCTATAGTCCAATTGAAATATCTTTTAACCATCCGTTCCACGATTCGTTGTTCAATTTTACCGTATGTACAAATATCACGATTCAGGATGTGCGCAACGAGGAATGATCAATGACTCATTGCAGGGAGATACGATTCGCGTTCTATGGGCACTCCATCCGAGCGATCCCGAACTGAATACTGCTATCTGGCCCGGTGACAAACGCGGCGGCAGAGCTTTAAGATTGAAGACACCCCCGCCTCACGCGCCGCCCCAATACACCCAGGACATCAAGCACTGGGACGTGAAATTAAATCAAGTAAGCATCGAATCGTTAAAAGAACGATCTCCGCTTAAAATGCGGATTCGATGGAATTATAAGAGAATTAACCGCCGGATCAATACTGGAATACAGGATAAACCACGAATCGTGATCAGTAGAGATTATTTTGTTATTAGCATTAGCACCTGTATTTAAATGACGAAAGAGGCATTCGTCTGAAATGCGATTTATCATAGACCATGGTTAATTATGTTCCTTTTGATGCATAGCCGCCGGTTTCAGACAACGTGGACACCACGTACTGGTGCAAGATATTCAAGGCGCCGCATAAGGAGAAGCACCACATGATCGGGGTAAGTGATCGAAATTCATCGATTCGCGCACCTATTCGGGTATAATAAGAGAGACAGGGGACACGGAGGAATGCGCGGTAAGGCTGGGCCTGATTCGTATGTGCTTCACGAATCACGGTCATCCATGCCGGACATGACACCGTGCCGACGGACGTCATTAGAATAAAGAAGACCCAGGGGAATGACGTCATTCCTCTGTCCGAAACGCCCCGCGATCGTCAAACAGATTCGCCGGGAGAAGAATATTCGCGTCATGATTCTCGATTTCGTTTCCTCGAACTCGCACGACGATCGTTTTACAAATTCAAAACTCGCTACGGTTCTTCGTAAACTCGACTCGTTCGTCTCCTCGATCGTCGAATGAATTAAAAAGCGTTGCTTGCATACCTTGGTTTTTCCAGTACACGCCGCTCGTGGAGAAGGAAAACGAAGACTTGGTTCACCATATAATATTGTACGAGTGCGCCTCGACTCTGCCGATTTTAGGCCAGCACGCGAGGATCGTCGGGGCTCCGTGTTACAGTCCGACGATGCCCAGGGAATGGGAATCTTGTTTGCAGCCCGTATTGGCTTGGGCGCGCGGCAGCAGAGGTAAATTGTTTATGAAACAAACGAGATTCCTTCCGTCGAAAGGGACCGTGCTCGACGTGATACAATAAAATTATAGGCGAATGGCTCCCGGAACACGTCGGTATTCCTATCGCGGAACATTCCGAGGGCTCGTATTACATGCTGGAGGTGCATTACAACAATCCAGAAATGAGGAAAGTGGTGGACAGTAGCGGAGTACGGCTTCATCTCACTCCGAATCTCCGTCCTCAAGAAGCGGGAATCCTGGTTGCCGGTGTGGCCGTTAGTCCTCTTCACTTGATTCCTCCAAAGCAGAAGGAGTACGCCACAGCTGGTTATTGTACTCCTCACTGCACGAACACGGTAAGTATTAAAAATATCGATTCGACGATCCGAACGTGCGATTAATTGAATATTCCTTTTCTTCCAGATGTTCCCCGAAGACGGTGTGAACGTCGTTTCCGTGGTTTTACATTCCCATTTGGCCGGCAGGCGTTTAAGCTTGAAGCACATTCGACAGGGCAAGGAGTTACCGAGAATAGTACAAGACAATCACTTCGACTTCGAGTACCAGCAGTCTCACACGCTCGGGAAGGAAGTGAAGGTACTTCCGGGAGACGAATTGGTGGCTGAATGCGTTTACGGGACGTTAGACAGGACGAAACCCACTCTTGGAGGATACGCGGCTTCTCAGGAAATGTGTCTAGCCTTCGTGGTGCATTATCCGAGGACGCCGCTCGCTGCTTGCTACAGCATGACTCCGGTCAAACATCTGTTCAAGACTCTTGGCGTGTACAGCTTCAAGGGTGTCAGCATGGATCATCTGGAGAAACTTTTCTTAACCACGAGGTAAGCGTTTTTTACACGTTCCAATGGAATCATCAACTACTAAATCCTAACACGACGTACCATTCGATCTGTGCAGGACAGATGCCGCGATCCCTTCGTCTGGTCAACAGCATCTGCCCATCTACCCTGCCACGAGACCTGGCGAGGCAATCGACGACGATCTTCTTATAAAGGAAGCGAAATCAGCGTTGAGAGCTATGAGAGACTACACAGTGGAAGAGGACAATGATAACGTATTTTCGAGACTCATCATCGAGGAGCCGAAGGAATTCAGAGGTAAAGAATCGAAATAATCTTTTTGGCAACTTTTACTGGACTCTAAGAAACGATGATTAATTTTGATCACAGGTCGTACTTTGGCTGAACATTTGCTAGCGTTACCCTGGACAGAGGAACTTCTTGTAAGACCGATCGAGCAAAGTTTATATCACGGCAGACACATGACTTTCTGCAGGAAAAGAGACGATAAACTTGCTTTGGTAAGCGAACAATTTTACTTGCTTTGGTACATCAATCAATTTTAAGATTTCCATTTTCTAATCGATCGTTTTCATGCAGCCGGCAGATATTCAAACGTTCCCGAATTACACGGCGTTGCCAGAAGTGAACGAGACGACGTGTACCGAGAAAGCGATGCTGTCAGGAACATCCACGCGTTTGTACTTGAATTTAATCGCGTTATTAGCGGGCACAATCGCGACGATCATCGTTTCCTAAGGTCTACCGACGTTTAAAGGAATTCAGTGAATTGTACATTAAATAATTACGTAAACCTTCGCGTTCCGCTTATCGAGTGTAGGAACTGTTCGAAACAGGCTAAACAGTAAGCGGAGGAACAATGTATGGGCGCCCAAGATTTTCGAGAAATCTTCACGGTCCACTTATACATAGATTTTATAATATATACATATATATGTATGTAATGTAATGTAATGTAAATATGCGATCTACATATTTATAAGGTGTTCGCGAAACTGTATTTTATGTAAGAACTTTGTATAAAAAATAAATTGATCCGTAATATCTGTACCTGAATTGTTCATAACGAAGCCTGTCTAAGAAACATAAGATATACAGGATGGTCCATGCAACGTGTGCACCGTTACAACATCCAAAATATGCGTTGCACGAAAGAATGTTATATACAAAAGTTACATGGTTTAAAAGCAAAATTGACCTTAAAATCTCCGAAACGCGTCTACCTATAAAAAGAATTAATGCACTACGTAGTGTACCCTTTTAAACCATGTAACTTTTGTATATAACATTTTTTCGTGCAACGCATATTTTGGAAGTTATAACGATGTACACGTTGCGTGGACCACCCTGTATTCTGCCATATGGAACTCATTGTCAGTTTGGTAAGAAGAACCCTTGAAAAGGTCCGGGTTGTTCTACTATGAAACTCGCCCACGCGGGTACCGGGTAACCGATATATCAGCCGGGACACCTCTGTGTCCCGGCTCGCAATTTTCTGGATGGTTAACCAATTACCGCGTTTGCAATAGTTCCAATTTCATTCACGGTGATTTTCACGTGCCCCGGGGATACGGGGTCCCATGTGGTCGGAGCTGATAAGCACTGAATTGAAGCGATATCGAATTGCGGAGGACTCCTTGGGGGTATAAAAGCTCGGCTCCTCGGCACCCAGAGCATCAGCAGCTCGCCGGAGCTCCGAGGGAAAACACCGAGCATCTCGCGAAGAATACTCAGGATCCTCTGACGAACTTATATAGAAAATACGTAAGTTAACATCGAAGGCAAAGTGATAGAAAAATTTTTAACTCGTCAAAATTTGCACAAGGATGCGACGTACGAGGCATATCGCGCTACCAGTGCGCGCTTGGCAGTACATGGGGCTTTTGGTCGTGTCTCTGGCCTGTCTGACGCTAGGCGTAGTCGCCAGGGACAAGGAAGGTCGGGCAGGAAGCTTGGCGGGACCGGAACTTCAGCACCGCGCCCCTCACGAGTAAGAACGATTAATGTTCAAAGGCTCGAATACATTTTATGAAATTTGTCGGTTTCTCTTCGTAGCATGGACATCTGTCCGAACTTAGCTCCTTTCACCAAAATGCCTTCCTGCTCGAGTCTCGAACAGGACCAGACCAGGATCTCGAAGACGACGAGAGACTCCAGGTCTTCACCGTCCGAGCTTCGAAGGTCTCGAAGTTTGGATCGCGTTTCCAGGATTCAACCTGCTGCTAGACGTTCGTCGGACTCTTCGATTCAACTTTCAAGATTGAGAACTACGGAAGATCTCAATAGGCAGAATAGAATAATCGAGTCTCGAGAACGGAGGTTTGCACGATCCACGGAAAGGTCGAATGATTTACGTCGAGAAAGGAACGATCGACGAGCGCAGCTGACGATCAGACGCGATTCCAGGCTGGATCGCAGATCTTTTAACAGACTGGACGCTGAGAGACGAGACTCTGTTGTTAGATCGAGGAACTCTGTTCGCGACGAGCGATGGGAAAGGAATAATAGACTCTCTGCTTCCGAAATTTCTAGGAAACAGGAACAAAGACGAGTCGGAGATCTTTCTGATCGTCGAACTTCTATGGATTCTAGAAGGGTTTTGGAAAAACGCGATATACGTCACGTTTCTAGGAACGATTTGAAACAACGAACAGGCAGGACTAGTCTCGATGATAGAAGGTCTGAACGTCGAGTTCTTGCAAACTCTAGATCTTCGGAAAGACTTTCCGTCGAATCTCGAATTCGTGAAGACGGCAGACGCGTCGAACAGCGAACCGATCGCGGACCTACAACGCGACGTCTCGCAGAACGAATTGATCGTCGAGCAGATTTGAGAACTGATCGGATTCGCAAGGAACAAAGGTCTGAACGCGGTTTAGAGTATCGAGGTATCCGTAGTAGACTCGTGGGAGATAGAACTGACCGTCGACTCACCGGACGGAAGTTCGATCGTCTAGCAGTGAGAACTGATCGGATTCGTGATGAACAAAGATTTGAACGCGGTTTAGAGCATCGAGACATCCATAGTAGACTTGTGGGAGAAAGAACTAACCGTCGACTCATCGGACGAAAATTAGATCGTCTAAATGTCAGAACTGAAAGACTCATGGAACGGAGAACTGACCGGCTTATGGATCGGAAAACTGACCGGCTTATGGAACAACGAACTGATCGCAGACTCACGGACCAGAGGGCTGACCGCCGACTTACGAGAAGGTCTGATCGTTCGGATGAAAGACTCGATCGTAGACTTATAGAGAAGAGGGTCGACCGTCGTTTGGATCAGCGAGCTGATCGTAAACTCATGGAACGCAGAATCACGGAACAGAGGGCTGATCGTCGAGACTTGGACTCAAGACGATTGCAAAGACTTGATATTCGATTGAAACAGTCTCGCGTTTTCAATCTTGCTTCAAAGGACATCCGATCTAACCAGAGAGAACAAAGACTAGCAGTACGCAATGCTGATATCAAAAGGGTTCGTTCTACAGAAAATGATTCTCGATTTCAAAAAGAGTTGATAAATGAATCTTTGCTTCGAAGACACCGAGATTCCGGAATTGCACGTTTATTAGCGGCGCGGGAGAAACTGATTCGTAATAACGATTTCACAAGGGTGGACGCACTTAGCAGTGCAGATATCCTGAAAGGAAAGAATCCTATAAGCAATGTTTTAACGTTCGAAGTCATTCGTCAGGCGATTGTAGTTGGTCTCTGTACTATGTACGGGCTGTCTATTTTCTATGGGAAACGGTCTTTCATTAGGTAAGTTGAAGGAGACCGGAACAGGCTGAAACTATAAATAATTATTCGTTGCAGGAACCTCGTGAACCAGGCACCGCGATACATCGTATGGTAGATGCACCGTCAATGGGAAACGAGCGCTACTTCAGACATCCGCTTTTAGTCGTTGTTCTAGGATTCTCCTGCATTTGATTCTTATGTACTTGACAAACGAGTGTATATTAATGTACAGCTAATGTATCCTGCGTAGAATTATATCTGTATCGCTTGTAGTCGAAAAAATATATTTTCTCCGAATAAATTATTCAAATCAAAATCAAACCTTCGTCTATACCTTTCGTTAAGAGACCTTACTAGTGTGAAATTTAAAAAAAAAAATTTTATTATTAATTATATATATTATTATTAAGAAATTTTTATTTGCATTTTTCGAAATTTTATATCTTAAGGCTCCTTAAACCCATCTGAACATAAAAATAGAACTGCGCTACGTACATTAGAAATGTAACTTAAACGGAATGATCAAAGAGACGAGAAGTAAATTTATTAAAGTCATAATCTCATGGGTTTGTACATTGCGGCTGTCGATGGCTTAAAAGTAATTATATTTTAAAAAATGCTGCGATCTCGACGTATATCCAGTCTTGAATAAGTAACTGTACTCTGATTACAATGATTCGATAAGACAGGCAGGACCTGAACGAAAACAACTGCACACTACGATCACCTTGTAAAACCAATTACTGATTACGATCCTTCAGTACTAGGATACGTCGACGTTGTGCGATATGCATGTGCCTCATTCGTATGGAATCTCAAATATCGTGCGTATACGTGACCACTAAAACCTTTAATGAATTCATTCACTCCCTAAAGTGTATATAAATATATGTATAATACAATACAAGTGGACGACTCGATTGAAGATGGATTCGTTGATGGCGAAAAATGATTGAGTTATAAATAGTGAAATAAATACAATTATCGCGATTAGTACGACGCGCTTATTATCCTGATAAAGCCTCATATAAAAAATTAAATCCTACGCGACTTTGGAAGATACTCTTATTTCCCCCAACCCTCTATTACGCGTTGTAAATCACCTGGAAACTATTCTGTAATTTATTTTGGCCAAATATCTTTTGTTCCTATCACAATTAATTGTTACTGATCGATTATAATTTTTATTATAGAGGGTCAAAGTTACTTCCACTACATTTTGTCTACCTATCAGAGATCTCGTCGAATAATCCCGAGAGTAAGTACAAGCTAAATAGTTTCCGGATTGGAAGCAGTCGAGTTGATCTTAATTCATTTTTATTTTCAGATTTTAATCCTACGTTATTAGATAAAATAAAAAGTCTGCCTCTTATTAAATATAGATCAAAATATTACAGTTCTCGTTTGATATTCGACTAATTATCATACTTTTGTTAAACTGACTATATTGGACGTAGTCTCGTGCGTGTCGCACGCACGAGTGGCAAAAATAGGAATGTCGAGAAGTTACGATAAAACGGTAACTCCTTTTATTTATTCCACTGTTTTTGTTCTCTTTTGTTTCTAACTTTGGCAGTGATCCCAGTCGATCATTTTGCGCGAACTTTCCCCAGGATCGATATGATTTCACTGAATTATATACTCCGTAATCTTACGATTATAAGAATGACTAAAACATATTGCAAAAGCGACCATGAATGACTGATCTTGTCACTTCTCACGAAGGGTCGATAAAAAACATCGACCAAACTTTTCTTTTAAATGTGGCTAACACACGTATGAAGTGCCTAACAACGTCAATTATCTCCTAACAAAGAAACCTAATGATTCGATCTAACACACTCGGATCTACCCGAGTTATCACAATGCCCGATTGCGAAGAAATTGTTGATCACCGCCAATCGATCTCTCGATCTGCGGATCGTCTCACGAGCACCGCTCGGCACCCGTCTAGTCTAGTTCATTTCATTAATGAACGTTGGCGATCTCTTGGAGCATGCCTAGGATATGGTCGAGCTCTTTACGGAAATAGCATAATTGTCGATTTTTACCCTTCTCATTCTTACAGTCCTTACACTGGGTTCTATTTCTGAGCAAATCGCGCACCAAACTTTGCAATGTCATCTCACGGCTCTCGTGCCGCTGCTGAAGGATCGTTATCTTGTCCTGCAGCAACTGCAACTGTTCCGTGCTCTGGAACAAAAAACAAATTGAGTCGACTGAAATATAAATTTTCGCGTCAATTCTTCATTAAATTCCGTACCGGCGTTGACAAGTACTTGACTTTTTCGTTCAAAGTCTTTACTTTCTCCTCCAAGTGATCCCTTTCAGCCTTCAACACGACGACCTGTTCTTTGTAATCCCTCAGTTTTTCGATCTGTTGCTTCAAGTGAGTTATCACAGCCACTTGTGTATTTATCTGACCCTGCATCACGGATTAAAACGCAGTCTTGGTATAGAACGATCACACCTTGCGTAAGGAGTACTACGTGCAAACTCGATTAATGCTACGAAAATAAGCGAACGATGAACAGAAAACAAGCTTCTGCACGTAATACTACGAACCTGTAACTTTACCACTTTAGAGTCTCCGAACTTCACGCTATACTCCTTAAGCAGTGTCGCCATTTCCCGTTCGTGTTCCTCCTGCAAGAGATTCAAATCGTGGAGTCTCTTATTCTTCAAAGCCATGAAGTCCTTGTTCATTTTATTGAGTTCCTCTTTCAGAATGTCGTTCTCGTCCGTCAGCCTCTTAACCAAATTCGAATCCCCGTTCTCGGTGTATTGCATCGGATCGTAAAGCTTATGCACGGAGGCGGACAATCGTTGAGAGTTAGCATCGGATACGTGCCCGTTCTGATAAATGTTCGAGTTCTGATCGTTCCCATCGGTGAACTTCAGATTGAGTAACTTCGAATCGGAGGACACCATGCCGCGGTTCATCCGGTCAAAGTCCGTCTTCACGGATCTTCTGTCGTTCAACAGTTTCTCCCTTTCCTTCTGCAATCTCCTATTCGTTTTCTGCACCTCCTGGAACTCCTTGGTCAATTTCGAAAGCGCTTTATCTTTACTCGCGAGCTCTAATTTCAATCCACGGATCGTTGCCATAAGATACGCGTCTTCCTTACAATTCTGCGTCTTCGGAACAGCCTTGATGGTTTTCTCTGATCTCTGATCCTTCTTCTCATCTTTTTCAAAAGATCCCGCTCTCTCTTCCTTCCTGAGAGTTTCCACTCCTTTATTCTCCACAACTTTCAACGTGGTCTGCGTAAACATGTCGTTGCACACTTTTTGTTCTTTTATGTTAGCCTCCAACAATTTTCCCTCGAGTTCCATGATCTGCGTCGAGTATTTCTCCTTCATGTCCGAGAATTTCTTTTGGAATTCGACCAGTTTCTGTTGCGCCAATTCATCCTTCGCTTTGATCTCGTTCTCTAGACTAGCTATCCGTTCTTCCAACAGTTTCACCTTTTCCGAACCGATTTTCTCCTGCTCCGAATTCGCGGTCAATATCAACGCGGATACAGAATCTGGGTTCTTTCTTTTAAGTATCCTCTCCATCTCACGAATCTGTCTGTTCAAATCTGTTATCTTCTTGCTATCGAGGATCACCTGGTCTTTCAACTTCTGTGTCAACTGCTTCTCGCGTTCCACGTGACTCCTGGACACGTGTAATTTTTCTTGAAGGTTGCCTTCTTTTACTCTTAACTCTAGAAGTTCTTTCTCCAACGGAAGTATGTTCTGTTGAATCCTATCGAACTCGTGTTTCACTATCTTCAATTGTTCTGTCTTCGAGCTCAATTTCACGCTCAAGTCTTCGACTTGTTTCTTAAATTCCAACTCGGCGGTGGTCGTTGCTTGCAATCTATCAGCGATGAAATTACTCTTCGCTCTCAATTGTTCCTTGAACATCTCCAGTTCGTCGTTCAGTAAACTGTTCTGTTGACTGAGGTCTTCGTTCTTCAGTAAGTAATCAGCGTTCTTCTCTCGGAGATCTGTAACTTCGAGGTTTAACTTCAGAGTCTGCTCCTGCAAATCCTTTACTTTATCCGCGAGTTCTTGCATCTTGCCCGACTCAACAGCAGTGCTTTTCTGCTTCTGCAACTGCTTCATCTCCTCCTGCATCTTCTTCGTATCTTGCATCAGTTTTTTGTTCTCTGTTTCGTATGCTTGAATCAAATTCTCTTGCTTCTGTAGTTCCTTCTCCAAGAGCATGATCTTCGTGTCTTTCTTCGGCTGAGGATCGGGACGCTTCTCGTTCAGGGAGAGCTCGTCTACCTTTGCTTTTAATATGATATTCTGCTTCTTCAATGCAAATAATTCCTCCTCAAAAGTGATGCGCATATTGTCGATTTGAGTCTTGTACGTTTTCACCTCTGAATCCAATTGTTGTTTCAGCAACGCATTTTTATGCCTCTCTTCACGGCACAAGAGTTCCCAGTTCGTTTTCATTAAATTACTTTTCGTATCGCCACCAGCCATTGTTCTCGCGTAAGTTTCCGGCGATTTGGTTTTGTAAATGGAAGACAAAGTGAGAGTGGAACTACTCTTGACGGGATCTTTCTTTGGCTTGAAGGATGTTTTAGGTTTTGCTGGAAGTTTCGCGAGTGGTTTCACCGTCGGCTGCAACTTCGGCTTCAGCGTTGGCGACCGTCTAATTAAACAATTAGAAGGTTTCTTCGTGGCATCCGAAGGTTTCCTCAGATTTTCTACCGAAGCCCTGAACGGTGGCTTGCAAATCTGATCGTAACTCTTCGACTTGGAGAACTTCAACTCCTTCTTCTGCGATTTGTTGCTCGTCACCGATGTACCAGCCGAGTGAACGGATTTTCGTTCCACGGTACTACGATGAGTGCTTGGGATGCTACTACTAGATTTGATTTCGATGCTCGAGATTGTTTTCCGTACCGTTGCCTTCGGTTCTTCCGCAGACTCTTCCTTGTTTTGTTGCGCCGCGTCTTTCGTCGATTTCTCGGCTAATAACTTCGGAATCGCGTCTGCAAATAATTCTAATCTTGGTGTGAGATCAACTGTATATAATTCTTCTTTAGAAGTAGATTCTTTCTTACTAATCTTCGGAGACGTCTTCGATTCATTCTTGTTGCTAATGTCTTCAGGTTGCTTCTGTTCCTCGTCTTTCATCGAAGAATCCGAATCCACGATTTCGTGCACGACTTTTGGTTTCTCCTGAGGTAGCTCCTTGTTTAATATGTCGGAAATTTCCTTCTCGGGAAACACGGGACTATTAGTGTTCGCTGGTTCCCCGTCCAGCCTTTCGTTCTCAGGTTTCGAAAGGAAAGGATGGACGGGATTAGGTTCGGCCGATCCTTGTTCTCTTTTATCGGTCTGGCCTTGCAGAAGTTTCAAGAAGTGCGAGAAATCCTCTTGTCCGAAGCTCGAACTGCCGGACATATTACCTTCGGCTTTTTCCTTGGACTTCCTCAATAAATCTTCGAAAAAATCCTTATCCACGTCAGTTATCTCTTTTTGTAAATTGTCCTTGTCCGATTCTATCTTCCTTGTACTCTTCAACTCTTCCGACTTGGAGTGTTTCTCAATTGGATCGTCTAAATCGGAACTGCTAGACACCTCTACCTTCTGTTCCTCGAATTTTCTCTTCTGTAATTCCAAAGTCTTCGGAGATTTGAAACTATTCAAGTTCTCGTACAAAATTTCGATCCCGGGACTGCCGTCTCTCTTCTTCTCGTTCCTCGGACTCTTTTTGATTTTTTCAGTCTCCTTGTGCACCTCTTCTTCTATCAGTTGAAAGATATCTGCTTCTAATTGCCTAACCCTGCTAAGACTCTCTACGTTTTCTTCTGTGATATTCTCAGGTACTAAAGTCTCAGATTTTGATCCACTCTTAGATAAACTACTACTATTCTTTCTCACAAGTTTTTCTGCCTCCTCTAACAGTTCTTCCACAGACTTCTCTTCTTCCGTAAGAGTTTTGATTGAGTTCCTGGACTTCGATCGATCAGTAGCTGAATTTGGGCTGAATGCTCCAGCGATCTTACTCATTTCTTCTAAAATACTACCTATATCGTCGTCAGTCGCATCTGAATAGAAAAACGAAGATGAGACCCTGCTTCTGTTCTCGCAAACTACTACACCTTCACGAAGGTACTTACTCTCAAAATCAGAAGGATATTTGTCGAAAGCTGCAGATGCCAAAATATCGCATAACGTGTCATCTTTCTCTTTCGTTTCAATCTCATTCTTATGCATAGCCTAACACGAAAAAGTTAATAGTGAGACACAACAACCATTGCTTCGAAGTGTACGAAGGACAAAATGTTTTATTTACTTTGCACATCTTTTCCTTTTCAAGGAATTCTTTCATAGATGAACTAACATCAGGCGAGGGAGATGGGGACTGTTTTGCGTTCACATCTACGGCAATAGCCTGAGGAACGTCGAGCCAGGTATCTGGTTTTTTCAGCCACCATTTCCCTTCATCATGTTTCTCTTCCTGATCTTTTTTTCCTTTAGATTTCTCTTTTATTCGAATCGAATTCTCTCCTACGCTAAGACTGATAGAAGTACCCAGAGTATCATCGTCTGAGATCTACGATCAATGAATGAACCAACGGTGAAACGTACTAACAAGCACGAGGCTTAAAATACTTTAAAAAATACGATAAAATAACAATAAAGAATCTATGAACAAATCGTCTAAAGCGAGCCGTTGTCCATCTCTAGGAGATGAGGATAGGTTAACGCATATAGAGAGAAGAACACTTGTTCTACTTACTTCCTCGTAACGAGGCGAATTCTGCGAGTGCGAAGACATTCGGACTGTACGTTAATAGTACTCTTCAACGACGTAATTCAAGTGATCATTCATCTTCTCGAAATCGTTTGACACTTACCGTACTTTTTGTTTGTTTGTTAGTTTTGACAGAGAGAGAGGAAACGAGAAACGAGAGAGCCGAGAGAGTGGTCATGTGTCATGTCTGAGACTAGGAACTCACATGCCCATCATGCCCATCACTTCGTGGAACTGCTGCACCAAGCGGCTAAGTTTGAAAAAGGTTCCACCACCACCAGTATAGACGCGTATAACATATCCGTGTACACTAACACAAAACATTAAGAAATGTTGTCACTTTCTGCTTTGTGCTGGCCACATGGTCACGGTGAAAAATATTAGAAGGTTTAGAATTATTTAAGAAGGCTGAGGCTAACGCATGGCTAACACCGTTTATACCTCGTTACAATTATCGTTCCGCAACGCGTAAATTCTTCGTAGATCTCTTTTATAATAGACTATAAAAAGAAAATGCCGAAAGTACGTACTCAGAAAACATCCCGTATTCATAAAGACGTCGCCAAACAGGGTACGCAATGCATATTCTTTGAACGTTTACTCTTACTCGTAACGAATGTTTGCCCTTTAATCGTAAATTAAATTTTTGCAGGGATTCAGTTCAACACGAACATCGGACAGCACATTTTGAAGAATCCACTGATTGTTCAGAGCATGGTCGAAAAGGCAGCAGTTAGACCAACGGACGTTGTATTAGAAATAGGTCCAGGTACAGGCAATATGACTGTGAAACTGTTGGACAAAGCTAAGAAGGTAATCGCGTGCGAATTAGACACACGAATGGTTGCCGAATTACAAAAGCGTGTCCAAGGCACTCCCTATCAAGCGAAATTACAAATTATGATAGGCGACGTTCTCAAGACGGACATGCCGTTTTTCGACTTGTGCGTGGCCAATATACCGTATCAAATTTCATCGCCACTGGTATTCAAATTACTTCTACACAGACCGTTGTTCCGGTGAGTTTACTCAGTTCCAAAATCTCTGTTGTTAGCTTTTCGGTAAGTAACCGAGAGCATCACAGTAATTTCTAAAACACAGGCGGAGCGTGAGAACATGGAAGAGAACGGACTTGATTAGGAAATTGTTTTCTGCAGATGCGCCGTGCTCATGTTTCAACGCGAATTCGCCGAACGTTTAGTAGCGAAACCCGGAGACAAACTGTACTGCCGTTTGAGTATCAACACACAATTGTTGGCACGAGTAGATTTGCTAATGAAAGTGGGAAAGAACAATTTCAGGCCACCGCCAAAGGTGGAGTCAAATGTGGTCAGGATAGAACCGCGTAATCCGCCTCCGCCGATCAATTATCAAGAGTGGGACGGTTTAACGAGGATCGCGTTCGTTAGGAAAAATAAGACGCTCTCGGCAGCATTCAAGCAAACTACCGTATTGACGATGTTGGAAAAGAATTATAAGCTTCACTGCAGCTTGAACAATAAGGTACTTGCGCTCGTCATAAAACAATATAAAACGTTCGATACAGATATTCAATTTTACATTATTCGTTTTCCTATCTGCGCAGGAAATCCCAGAGAACTTTGACATCAAACAGATGATAAATACTATTTTACAAGAAGCTGATGCTGAAAATAAACGGGCCAGGACCATGGATATAGATGATTTTATCAGGTAAAAGGGCCGCTTATATTTCCGATTGTTTAACGATCGAGAATCGTTAGAAATATTAATTTCTTTCATTTCCTTCGAATTTCCAGCCTTTTACATGCCTTCAACGAACAAGGCGTGCACTTCACGTGATTTACATATGACGCAAGAAATGTAAATTATTTTTGCCAATAAAGGGCAGAATTAACACAATGCGTCATAAACTAGTTATTTTAAGTTTTATATAGAATTGTACATATATTTCTAAGTCTACATACTTTACAAAAAATTATATCTATGTAAAATTTCAATTAAATTACTAGCTTATAACGTACAAGCGTATTTACAATCATTCTTTGGGAACCAAAAGATTTTTAAAAAATATACCCCCAAAATGATACCTCGATATCCCGATTCGTACAAACGAAGGTAATGTCGCCGAGGCCGAAAAACATGGATCATGTCACGTTTACGCGTCACAGTACATTTTTCCTGGCTTCGCACATTGTTCAGAATTTAATAGGACAACATCAAATTTAATTATCATTACCTCGATATATACAATTGAACGAATTACGAATAGGACTTAATATCTTGGCTCGATATTCCTTTTATACAGCTAACATATACGCGTACATACATTTTAGCAACACACCTGGAAGTCGTTCATCGTTAAACCGCGGACTCTGCGCTTTTATTTAGTGATCGATCGAAAATGATCCAGTTATGCGGAAACAAAAAATAACTGTAAAAGTGTATATGCAACAAAAGTAGAACAAGACTTTGTGTACATATTATGTTTGAAATCGGTACAGCAAGTTTCGTTTCATTAAGTTAGACTGTTTAGAAAGCAAAAGGAATGAAAGATTATTTCGCGATGAATTTTTACTTGTAACTTCTTTACTCTCTCACCTACTACTATATCAACTAATAAATCTCGCCTAATAATAAATCAATTAATAAATCAACATGTATATAAATCGTCAAAGCTAATTTAAATTCATTGTACCCGAATATTTTCACTGTAACGCTACATCATATGAATAAAACGTGAAAATAGTAAATCAGTAATTTACAAGTAAATAACGGCAACTGGAACATTGATCGTTCCGGATTCGAAGTATTTAATACTCGAACGCATCGTAGTCAATTTCATCAATTTTGATTCGGTGATATTACCCTGAGACTTTTTCCTTCTAACTCGATATAAATTTCGTTTCTCGAATGGGAATGTTTCGATGCGACACCACTCAAACCTCAACCAGGATGTCGTCGCGTTGATCGCGACTTGTTCGAAGAGCCACGAGATCTGCTCGTAGATCGTTTCCTTTTCTTGCTCTTACGTTTATCCTTGTGCTTCGATTTCTTTTTGTACGTGTAAGATTTACTCGAGTAATTACTGCATTGACTACGCGACCTGAAATCATCCTCCGAACTACTCCAAGTTATATTTTTCGTCTTGTATTTCGACTCATGATCCTTTCGCGAAACATCTTTAGACGGCCAATTACTTTTATCGAGTTCGTTGTCGTTGCTCGCGTCTCGTTGAGGGGCCCGTCGTCTAGAGTTTACCTTCTTATCTTTCTGCGATGCGTACGAAGACGCGCTGCTGCTCCTAGACGCGGATCGATAAAATGACGAATCCTTCGTGTCCGAAACTTGTTGCTTCTTAGCTTTTGTTCCGGTACAAGTTACCCTTTCTTGTCTGACTGTATCGAGGTCGCTCGAACTAGTCAGATATCTTCTCTCAGATCTACGCATGATGCGAGACTGCTTTACGTTTTTACCGATCTCATCGGATTCGCTGCTACTGACGTTCGTTAACGAAATGTCGGAGTAACGAGCTTCCTTCTTGATTGAATCCTTGTGAGAGCGTCCTTTCGCGCTAGTTCTCTTCGAGTATCGCGAACCTTTCGATTTCTTCTCGTTCACGTGCTTCGCTTCGGAATCGCTGTCGCTGGAGGTGGTGGTTGTGGTAGTGGTGCTGATTGTGCTACTAGTGCTGCTGCTGCTGCTTGATCGTCTCTTTGCCGCTCGTTGAGTATTTCTCTTACTTCCCCTTTTTCTCAAATCGTTTTCCCTGGAACTGGACACGTTTCTAGTGGTCCGAATGCGAATTCGAGTTTCCATCGAACCATTTCGCCTCCTAGTGCTCATCCTCTTCGCGCGTTTCCGACTGCGACTCCCATACGCAGCTCTACTTTTTTTACAAACGTAATCGCTGTCCGAATCCGAATCGCTTTCACTGGATGATGAAATTGAAACTCGTTTCTTGATACCGCTGCTATTATGGTTCGATGTACTCGGCTGAATATCATCCTCGTGCAATGAACTCGACAAAACCCTGTCAACAAATCAAATCTCGGTTATCTCCCGAACGAAATTAAACGGACGATCGTTCTAACATTTGCTTTTACTTACTCGATGGTATCGTTCGGTATATGAGAAATGTCTATTTCCTCCGGATCGGACGAAACTAACTCTATGATCTCTGGCGTTCTTTCATGACGAGGCTTCACGTAACCGATCACCTCGCAATCATTGTCCGATGAGGAGAAGTCGGATGAGATCGTTAACACGTCCGGTACCGCAATCCGCGTCACGTTCAACTGGAACGTTTGACTCACCGTGCTTGGACCTGACGACGAAACAGACGATGTTCGACTTCCAATCTCAACGACTCGAACTCTGATATATAGTTTCTAAGCGAAGAAGATTTACCAGGCAGGTTGATCGTGTGCGGTCCCACGCTAGGTATTTCCGTATTCATTCGCAGATCGATCGCTTCGTCGACTACTCGGATGTCCGGATCATCAGAACCGAAACTACTGCTACTGGACGTTGGCGACAAGACGTTCGACACGTATTCGTTCGACAGTCCTGCAACGGATCATTCATATTTTACAAACGACCAAGGAATCTAGTAACGAGCAGAGTGAATCGTGCATACCTTGCGGTACATAAGTAACGGATTGATCGTAGCCGACTAAATCAAAGTTGCTTCGAGCAAAATTAAGTAGCTCGTATACGAAATGGTCGGTAAATTCACCCAAGTGAGGACGCAGCAAATCTCGGAATTCCTGACTTCTAATATCGTATTGAACGAGATATTCCAATATAACTGTTAATGCGTACGCAACGTACGCAGAGTTGTTATTAAGTAGCACTTGTAATTCTCTATTCAACCACGGTATAAGGCGACTCAATTCTTCTGGTTCTCTTCTACGATTGTATATTGTACAAATACTTAGTGAGCGTGTAACATAAGAACAGATAGAACACTGAAATGATGGACGCTGAGAACTTACCGATAGATATCCACGCTGCATTCGCGGAAACTGCCGAACGCGTCCGGTAACGGAGAAGCCCAAATGCCAAGTCTGTAAATCGTTCGACGGTAGGCGCCCGGACTGGCGCGTCTAAGCAAACGTTCTGCCATCGAAACTTGCGGAGCTATGCTTGGCAGTTGTTCCCTTCTCGCTACTTGCTCCGGATTAAGCACTACCGGCATTACGTGCGGGTATCGTCTGGGATACCCAGTCACCGTCGTCCTAGAATACAATTAATTGCGTTGGAAAATGCGAAACATGTATCGCAACACCGACTTCGTGCTCAACTTCAAAGCTGTGGTACCTGTAACGGAACCTATGACTGGTTGCAGTCTCCGTGCCATGACCCAAGTCGTAGCTGAGGTCCAATCTGGCCAGTTCTCTGTCCACGTGATACTGATCATAATCTTCTTCCGATCTGACATTGTGTATGATAGACTTGAACGTCTGCTTGCACAAGGGGCATTCGGTCTTTATCTTGGACCATTGGAGTAGACAAGTGAAACAAAATTGATGAAGGCAACTATCCGTAAACGACGTGTTCACTAATTTGCCGAGACAAATGCTACAATTCGGCGGAGGCGACACGGCACCATCGCTCCGATCGCTGCTCTCCGGGTTCGGAACGGGTGCTTCCGATTTGATAGGTTCCTCCGCGACTACGGCGGAGTCCTTTATTTCCAACGGACCTTCCATTATCGGTTAACGCCGTCGTCCGTTCATTGGATGAAGAAAATTGTCCTAAAACATCATTCACGTTCCGTACACGAATCCAGTAGCGGATTTAATCGCGTAACAGTTATGGAACAATCGAACAGCTGAACCAGCACATCAGACTTACGATGAACGATCTCGAACTGTACGTCAAGCATCTACGCGTTGAATCACGCATCGCGTACAATCGTAAATATCTCGAGATATTACGAAGTCTGCTGTAGATATTTTTGAAATATCTACGTATACCCAAGAGCGCTATCCATTTTATCGTTCGTACCGACTAACCGAATTTCATGCTTTTAAGTATCGAAGCAAGTATAGATATACGTTTATATCATCGATAAAGACAGAGCGACTGAACAGAATAATTGGGAATCGGAAGAATCCTGTTATTTCGTCGATGTCTAATAGCGAAAGAAGGAGGCACGTAAATACTACTTAGTGAGTCTACTTAAGTATACCCCGTCTCTCGCCACGAAATCAAGACGAGAAACGAAAGTCGTGATCAAATCTCGCGAATCGCTACGCATCTGGCTTTGTGAGAGAAGACGAGGAAGAAATAATAAAAGCGCGTAGTACAGGAAGAAAGCCGTGACGCGAAGCTGTTTTATAATCGGTATGTTTCCATTTCGTTCAACTCGTTATCGATTATCGATGTCTGCTTTTTCTTTTTTTCCTTTATAAACCATTCGAAAGACGCGATCTCTTACCTTTCTCGACCGTGTAGCGAAGTCTGCTTGATGTTAATTACGAAAAACGATTAAATCCGCGACGTAGCCAGCTTTCCTTGGACAACACTTATTCTCACTATGCTCACAATCCACTGTACTCCATGATAGCAAAGCGGAAACCAGTGGGAAACCAGCATGAAACTGGTCTTTGGCCTGATCCAACATAGAGCGTAGCGTAATGCCACGAACCATGAACGGGACAGACTCGAAACATTCTCCACGAACAGTCGGTAACTTGAAAACCCGGCTTGATCCTCGAAGCCTGCAGAACCTGCGGTACCGAGTGTACCGAGTATGACGTATGGGGTCGAATGTACCGAAGCGCGATGTTTTAAAAGGACATATGTATCATGTGCAGATCATGTATCATGTGCACCGAAGAGAGATTAATAAAAGTTGTAGCTGTAGTCGTCAGATACAAGGAAGGTCCTATGCAATTTTCTTCTAAGTCTATTCGTTATGAAATATTTGACAATGGACGAAATAATTCATCGATTATTCCTGGAGTAATCGCCAGTGCTGGGCACCGCAAGCGTAGATGCCGGAACTGCAAGATCATTGGCACTTCCGGTTTCATATTCGCTCTTCCTCGATTTATGAATAATCGTGAATAATTATTCGGGTAATTTTAAAAGGAGTGACTACTGGCTTTATGTAGCTACCCTCAAGATTGGTCATTTGGTCATCTGGTCAAGGATCGTGTAATAAAAACCATTATTTCGATTTAGAAGATAAAACTCTGGAATAGGCGTTTTGGTCCAGGTAACGAAAGGAGAGAGAGAGAGAGTCGGTTTGATGCCGGTTGATTGCTTGATTTCATGTAAGATTTATAGTCTCCGGCCTGGTTCAGTCTACTGAGGAACGCCGCGACCGTAAAGGGATTGCCAAAGGGAACGTTGGCTCCGGTATCTGCAAATTTCCGTGATGATTCCAGCCCGCAGATTGCTCGTTTAAGGGATGGACGGAGGAGCTCGCGGCGATCAAAGTTTGATTAGGAACACCCGTCACATCGGGCGCGTAATTGCCACCGCGCCGACAAAAACTTAAAGAACGCTAACTAACTCGCAGCGTTTAACTACGTTCCTGTCTTGGGAACTGTGTCTGAAATTTATTTTCCCGTTGCATGACGATCTTGCCTCGCTCTTACGGTCGCCGGCGCCGAGTTCTCTCGAGGAATGAGAGATCCGAGTTTTACGATCGAAGACGACGTCGTGAAACAGTGGTCTTCGAAATCGCGAAGCTCGGTTCGTAAGTAGCGATAAATGAAAACGGGGAAAAATATTCTTTGACTTGCTCGCACTTGGACCTCGACGATCGATTCGGTGTGGAGCGTGGACCACCGCTGAGAACGTCGCCGCGGAATCTGCCAGTCATCATCCGCTGATCTTGCCACATTCGGCGATCCGATGGCTTTGTAAACGCGTGGTATCTGCCCGTGTGTACTTATTGTTAGAGTACACCGTAGTCCTAAATTTGGTTCGCATGCTGTGATCTCTTTCATGCATCGAGCTGAACTGTTAATAAAGACGATTAACATAGAATTTGATCTGCCAGAAATCGTCGATTCTCCGGAATTGATTTGTGAAACGAACGTATGAGTCGTACCGGCGATCGACGAAGGACTATGCGAACGTGCGTGTCGTACGAAGCATAGGGCACGGGAAGATGAATTGGGAAATGGTCGGTGGTCGGTGCAAGGACCTGTCATCGAAAGATTCGACCGGAAGGAATTCATTGTCGACCGACGATCGGGCTCATTGGTGGTCCGGTATTGTCGGCCGTCCGATATCGTCGCGTTCGAGATCTTAATCGTCTATTTACGTCGGGTGAACGTATACGTATACCGACCGTATCTACTTGTCGCTTCGTGCATTGTACGCGGCTCCGGCTCTCAGCCACGAGATGCGCGTCACGACGTTACAAGTCGATTTTATTTCCTGCTCGTCGTCCCATTACATAATAACTCGTTGCCGATCGATCGCCTCGATCTCGTAGATTATCAGAGATCGACGGACATCTACACCGACAACCGTAGCCACCTCCTCCTCCTTCTCTCCTTTTTCTTCCATCTGTCACTCTTCCTCTTCTGTTTGGCTCCACTGCTGGACGCGAGCTTCGAACTGCGAGATGTGAGACACGGCGTCGCGTCGTTTGGTCTCACCGCCATTCATCCTTTTTGCGGAATGTAACATTCATTTCCGGTGGGTAGAACGACGCATCGGTCGCATGGACACGAGTATACCAACGTGCGTGTTACCTGTTCCGTGAACCGCGAGCGGACGCATGTTCGTCGTGTGGCTGACGAAAGCCGAGAAAAGGGGCGCGGGCCGATTCGATTAGGTAAACAGAAATTGTATCGCACGCATACACCAGCATCGTCTCATTGTTTAGCCAGCTTTCCTAGCTTTGTTAAACGCGAGCCGGAGCAGAGCGTGGGTTGCGAGAAACTGAAAAAATGAAATACAAAGGCGGCGAGAATCTCCAGGCTGATTTTTATTAGCGGCAGGATACGGGCTGGCAGGAAACACGCACGGGGCGGCGCAATAACGAAATCCTCACCCTTTTCGGTGCACCCTAAAGTTTAGCGATCTCTAATGAACTGGTAGTCCGTTAGTTACTCTGACACGGCCCGTCTCTACATTCCTCTCTCTCTCTTTGCTCGCCGTTTCTCGCACTGCGTACATACGTTCGTATATGGACACGTATGTACTCGTGTACCTACAGAGGTAGGTGGACATGTATGCATGTACATACAGCGTGCACGTATGTACCTTATTCAATTCGCGAATACCGAAAGAGGGAGAGAGAGAAGGGAAGAGGAAGGGGGAGGTCGGACGTACACGCGGATACGAATAAATCCTGTTAGCTCGTAGTCGCAGCGCAAAGCCGAATTTTCCCGGCTCGCATCTGCGAATATTTGCCCGTGGGTAGCGCATTACACAGGCGCTGCCACTCTAATGCGCTCCGAGTACGTTCCGTGTGTCTACGATTCGACGCGCGAGCGCAAACAGCGATGCGCAATGAGAAATTTACATTTTTACGGGATTACCATCGTCTACCGGGTCGCATGACCACCCCATGGGAGGATTAAGCGACATCGAGCGTTACGCTTACAACTGTAATGAAATAGGCCACGACATGCCCCGTTCCTCATTGGGACGATCCCCTGCCAACGTTTGGCTGCGGTTTTACATCGATCTCTTCTTTGCGAATTCGCAGACGTGGAATTTCGGATTTCGACAGGAGGATTTAGGCAACCAGGAGGATTAATCGTCGCCGCTGATAACGCGTGTCTAATCAACTTCTTCTACTGGCGCGCGCAACGATATGATGAGTCCGGATGAAGGAGACGAAATGGATACATCCTCGCAAGACTCAGAATCAACTTTTGTTTTATCAATCTGCTCCGTTCCCATGCGATCTTATCGAATTGTACCTGTCGTTACGAATCCTATTGGATCGTTGTCAGGTGCAAACCCTGTCGGCTGTTTGCCTGTTCGTGCGATAGCAATACTCGACCCAGTGGATCGTTCTGCCGCAGGGTGACGAGCGTATCGTCGGAATGGAGATTGATGCAAATCGGAGATGGGTCGATAATTATCGAGGCGCGGCGTGCCGGAAAAATTGTCGACCACGAGTTTTCGTGTATACACTTGTATATTAGAACGGTGGAGGAGCACAGCCGCAGTCATTGGAAGATGGAACATGGAAATGGCTGGCAACCCTCTTTTAACTTTCTTTTGGCCGTCGCGGCTGCTAATTTGCGGCTACGAGCTCGGTTTGACAGGAAGGAAGGAAGGAAGGAAGGAAGCGATCGGGAATGAAGGGAGCCGGCAAAGATAAAGGAAGAAATAAACTCCTTCTTTCCTTGTGATTTGCATGCAATTTCCAATTCCACCGGCACTGGCCCTTTGATGTTTCCTACCGATCGTTCCTTCATTAACGTCCTATTACCACGCACCTCTTTCCGTCGCGTCGGATCCCTTTTTTCCCTTTAGATATTTCCCAATGGCGTTCTTTCCCGTTCGCGAGAAGTACCACCTACGCGCTTCTTATCGTGAACGCGAGGGACCAGGAGAAGATATTCGGTCGTCGACCTGTGCGGATCACGTAGCTTCCTCGTCTCGTTCGCGAAAAGGAAAATCAAAGGAAACGTATCTGTGTCTCTCGAGTTTTCCCGAGATATGGGCACGGCATTGAATTTGTATTTCTCTTTGTATTTCTGGAGAGTCGTCGAATCATCGAGATCCGGGTCGCCCATTGTTTTTTACCAGTCTCTGCGGGAACAAAGGGGATAGGCAGGGTCGCGAATGCGTAGGTGCGTGGAAGCATCGTAACAGGATTACGGAAGGGTAACTGTGTAGGGGTTGCCGCGCGGTAGGGTGCCGACAAGTGGACCGAATAATTTTTAGCGGTGGCTGGGTACTAGATATACATACGTATGTACGCAGGGGGCTCGTTTCTACTATACGTATGTATCTACATGTTCGCGTGAATCCGAAATCGGTCGACGTTTCGAAAAATGATCGAAGTTTCGATCGAGCATGGTCGAATACGGGTCTCGATTAAAATTGATATACGATGATTATTTCCACCCTTGTACGACATTAACCCCTCGAACCGTTCATTCAAAGACGCCGTACAGTGACCCGTGCAGGGGAAGGTACGAAGCGAGCTTTTTTCAATAACAAAACAGACCGCCTCCCGCCGCCCAATGCATATGCCACTTGGAGCAATGATCGACCCACAGAAATGTGCTAACGGAATCGGGTCTCGCTAGGCCTTTGAGCGGCCCGTAACGCGATTCGCAAATCGACCGGCTACGTCGCGACCCATCTGCACCGCGTCGATCACTGAAATTATTGTTCCACAAATTAGGGGTTTGCAACCCTTTACATCTTGCACAACCCGCCTGCGCGGTGCCCGCGTAGCCACCAAATCGACCCAACAGCGCCGGAGGAACCGACCGCGACTGCATAATGCCATAATGTTTAGTGAGCGGATTCTCGTTTCTGCGCGTACAAATTTTATTTTATGTGCCCCTCAGCTGTACATCTTCTGCTTTCCGTCGTTCGTACCTGACGCTCTGTGTCTGATAAAAATGTCTGTTTTCGGACGATTCTCCGTCGCTCCGACGACAGCGCGGGAGAGAGACGGGA